TAAGATTCTGCCAAGTTAGTGGATGGAATATGATTATCTACTGTCCCCTACTGGATTCCTTGAGCATGCATTCTTTCTCTCTTCCTCACTTTCCTCTGCGTTATCCCCACTTTTTGAAGTCAAAAGCTTTGTTCCAGTGGAGTACCAAAAACTCTTGCCAAATACACCCAGAATTGTCAGGAGTAATAGAACCCTCTAACACTGTCGTTTTAGTGTTAGAAAGCAAGACATTAGTTTACTTGCAGCATAGGTTGTGTATGTGGCCAACAAAAATCCTGTCTTCATGCTGACACCAATACATTACTTTTTCACCTATTTTTACATTTTTAACAAACAAATTATTATTATTCATTGCTTCTTAATTACATGATTCTCTTTCATTAGTTACTATTCTACCTTCTATTGGTTATTAATTTCTCACTTTCTATGCTAATTAAGTCCACATCTTAAGTCTTTTTAGTATTTTTTTTCCTCTGGTAGGGACCTTCCTGCACATATACTGAATCTCTCGTTAATTCTTTTCTTTATCTGCTGGGTTCTGCAAAATGTCCTTGGTAGTTCATTCCAGATGTCCAACAATACATCTTTCTCTCTCAGGCTTTGTTCATTGAAGCATATCAAAGTTTAACAAAACTTACAGTTTTAGTACTTTTCCCAAACTATGTTCTGACAAAAGTAGCTTATAACAATTTTTTGCTATATACTGGCTAAAAGTGATATGAGGCCTGACACAACTTATGAGTAATTAAAACAACTAATTAAAAGTTTAATTAAAACTATATATTAAAATCAAATATCAGAAAAGCTGTATAATTCCAACAGTAGTTTGACTTTGTTCATATGGAGTGAAGGGCAAAAATACTGTAGAGGAGTATAAAGGCTTTTGCATCATCCTTTCCATCTCACTAGCACAAGTTATGGGGGAGCAGTCTTAAGCTCCCCTGTGTTCACCACTGAATTTTGTTCAGCTAGCAGTTTATCACATTATATTCAATAAGATTTCATTACGAAAAAAATCTATACAACAAGTGGCCTAACAATGTTGAAAAGCCTGTTATGAAGCCTCATGAACCAGTTAAACAAACAAATATAATTTGTGGGGAATTCATTTTCTTTCTCTCTGGTAGAACTTGGATTACTTTGCTCACTAAATTTGCCTTTTTTTGATATACACTCTATTACAGCTCTGGCTCCTTCCAAAAAGTAGTTTAGTAGGCCTGTCAACAAACATATTAAATATTTCTCCAGCAAAATATTTTTTATCTTCCTACTGTGTGCTTATGAGACCTAATCTATGTCCTGAACTTGCAATGTGCATTTTAGGAGATGTCTGTAAAGAGAGAGAGTGATGTTAGAACTTGGTGTTAGTGCTAGAGTTGGACCTGCGGAGAGAGCTTGCTTCATGGGGCCAAATCATAGTGACTGCAATAGTAGATACTTTTTCTCCTGGACATTGGCAACATCTTTGGGTGAGTTAGGCCAGTATTGCCTAGGAACAGAGAGACTACAACCCTGTGCCAAGAGTCCTTATTGCCTTTACACAGGTGATGTTGGTGCTTCAGCAAGAGAGCAGTCTCTCACAGTTTGGGTTTTTGGAGAGAAGGTTTTCTGCTATTTAAATCAATTCTCCCATGTATGCACATAGACACAAAGATGTACACAAGCGAAAAATTCCCCTTGAGTTCCGTGAAATACTCAGGTTAGGTGCCTTGGTATATTTCAAAGGCTAGAGGGTTGAGCTTTGAGGATTAGGGGGATTTTCACGTGTCCAAACTGTGGGCTGTCAGCTTCTCCAAGGAGAATGTTGTGGGAGACATTATTAAAGGCTTTACTGAGGTCCAGGTAGACAACATTCACAACTGTCACTGATTCACTAGGTGGGTAACCTGGTCATAAAAGAAGATCAGGTGAGTCAAGCAGGACCAGCCTTTCCTAAACCCATGCTGCCTAGGCCTGATGCCTTGACTGCTCTGTATGTACCATGTGATCAGTCAAGATAATCTGTTCTATAACCTTCCCAGGCACCAAGGTCAGGTTGACAGGCCTTTAGTTCCCCACATCCTGCTTCTAACCCTTCCTGGGGATGTTCATCACATTGGCTAATCTCCAGTCATCTGGGACCTGTCCAGTTAGCCAGGACTGATGATAAATGATGGAGAGCAGCTTTGCTAGGTCTTCCACTAACTCCCTCAGTATTCCTAGATGAATCCTATCTGGTCCCATAGACTGGTCCAAATGGCTCAGGAAGTGACTAACTACTTCCTCCTGAATTACATGAGGTTTATTCTGCTCCCTGTCCCTGTCTACTAGCTCAAGGACTGGTTTGCATGAGGATAACTGGTCTTGCTGTTAAAGATTGAGGTGAAGTAGGCATTAAGTACCTCAGAATTTTCCTCATCGTTGGTGACAGTGTTGCCCCACATGTTCAATAAAGGATGGAGGTTTTCCTTGGACCTCCTTTTGTTGCTAATCTATTTATGAAAATACTTCTTATTATCTTTCACATCACTGGCTAGACTGAGTTGTAGCTGAGCTTTTGCCTTTCTGATTTTCTCTCTACATGACCTAACAACATCCTGGTACTCTTCCTGAGTTGCCTGCTCTTTCTTCCAAAAGTCATAACCCCTCTTTTCTCCCTGAGTTCCAGCAAAACTCTCTGTTCAGCCAGGCCAGTCTCCTTCCCTGACAGCTCATCTTTCAGCACATAAGGACATCTTACTCCTACATCTTTAAGATTTCCTTCTTAAAGTATGTCAAAAACTCTATAATTTCGTGATCACTATGTCCAAGATGGCTTCTGACCACGACATCTCCCACCAACCCTTCTCTCTTCATAAACAGCAGGTTTACCAGGGCACTACCCTGGTAGCCTCACTTACCAGCTGCAACAGGAATTTATCTTCCACACGGTCCAGGAACCTCTCAGACTGCTTCCTCTCTGCTGTGTTTTCAGCAGACAACCGTCAACATCTCCCACAAGAACAAGGTCTGGTGACCATGAAACGTCAGCCAGCGACTTACAGAATACATTATCTGCCTTTTCATCCTGGTTGGATGGTCTGTAACAGTCCCACCAGAATGCCTTGTTAGCCTTCCCCCTGATTCTTACCCATAGGGCACTCAACCTTATCACCACTATCCTTGAGCTCTGTACAGTCAAAACACTCCCTTAATGTAGAGAGCTCCTTCACTGCCTCTCCTTCCTCGCCTGTCCCTTCTGAAGAGCTCCTGACCATCCACTGCACTCCAGTTATGCAGTCATTTCACCATGTTCTGTGATGATCACTGTGTCATAGCTTTCCTGCTGCACAGTGGCTTCCAGCTCCTTCTGTTTGTTACCCCTGTTGTGTGCATTGGTATAGGTGCACTTCAGCTGGGCTATTGATTTCACCCCCAACACTGGCATACTGCCTCCAGGCTCATGTCTAGTGAGCCTTGTCTTATCCCCTTCTCCCTTCAAAGCCCTCTCATTCAACTCTTCCAATTCACAAGCTAATATCCTTTTCTCCCTCTTTAGATGTTGCAGGCTGTCGGGGGATGACTGATTTTGCCCTCCCCTACCTTAGTCGTGCAAGAATTCCTGGTACAATCAAAGGATGCTTCAGTGCCAAACGGTTTACACAAAGGCCAAGCCTAGCAGGATTCCTGAGGATGTAGAGTGGTCCTGAGGAGCAGTGGGATGGGACACCCCCTGGTGTCCATATTCAAAATATTCTTCACGTTACACAGAATTAAGTAAAGTATCTGATCTTTGCCTTCAAAATCACCACCACTACTTGAATAACCAAGGAACAAGTTAGTTATGCTAGGCAAAACATTTTTGTGCCACTGAAGCTGTGCCCAAGTAATTATGGATGGAAATGACTCTAACGCTGTCACATGAGACCCAGGTTTTCCACCTCTATAGCTTTTTGAAAAGGGAGATATAACTTTAGGTAAAGAATACTGACATCTTCTGGCTGAATGAAATAATGCAAAGAGCTCCAGTCTTACCTTCCAAATTTATGTTTAGAAGAATGTGTTGCAGTTTTAAGAAAAGCAAATGACTGTATTTTCCAGTAGATGGAAATACAAACTTCTAAAATATACCAGGATTTTGAAAAGCCTTAATAGTAAAAAAAAAAAAAAAAAGTCTTGTCTTATAATTTTACTGCTGTTCATGAAGTTGCAACTGTTATTCATGATAGAGTTATTGTTTATTTTAAGATAGTCTTTGATCAATTAGTCTCAGATGTGCTCTTGGATGACTGCTATTTTTGGTGCCCACCCAGGAGTCCTCCTTCCACCAATTCCTTGTAACACCAGCCCCACGTTCTCTGTTCATGCTATACTTAACATTTTTCTTTCAGTACCCTTCAGGGTTGTCTTTCTGGTCACACTTAGTTGTTACTCAGTTGTATTGGGGGGCTTAGACCTGTGCTCTCTGGTGACTAGGTGATTGCTGCAAGAAGCATGTCATGAACTTTATGGACTGACTTTAGAGTTAGTTTTCTCATTGTGAGTGTTGTAGGAAGTGAGTCTTTATGGAAGATGAAGCCTGGACACATTAAAGTCAGTGAAGAGTTATGCTAGTCGTGTCTGTGGACTATGTGTCTTTCGAAAGACACAAGATAATTAGATTAATATTATACAGGAGTAATATTAACTATATAATCTAATTTTTGTGGTTGCATTAAGATAATATCCTAGCCTTAAGAAAGACATAGTTCTGTTAAGTAAAACCAACACTGCAGTAGCCAGTATTTCATGTGTGACTTTGGGACTGGATTGCAAGCAACAGAAAGGGATGCAAACACCCATTTGATATTAACAGAGTCAATTTCCTCAGTAATGACACCCTGGAAAATAATAGATTGTGACAATAAAAAATTCTTTCATCTGACGGTGTTTTCAATTTGACTGTCTATAGAAATTATATGTAGTTCTGTTTGAAGTAATTTAGTCTCCATTCCCTTACTGTATTACAAAGATATAATTAATAGTATACATGTCTTTAACAGGAACGAGTGATCCATATGTCAAGTTCAAACTTGGAGGGAAAGAAGTATTTAGAAGTAAAACAGTACACAAGAACCTCAATCCTGTGTGGGAAGAAAAAGCTAACATTCTTATAGATAACCTAAGAGAACCATTGTATATAAAGGTAGGACACTATCTTACATATGTTGGACAAATTGCAACAGAAGAGTTATTGAAAGAGTTTAATTTTGTGATTTTTGTATCCTGAAAAGTTTATTGTACAATAGTGCATTGCTAAAGAATATTTAGAATGAAAATTATTTAAATTATCTCTGTAGAATAATGATATCAGCATTTTAAAAAGTGGCAAATACAGGTATTTTTGTTTATTTTAAGTCATCATTATTTTGTATTTTTTAGTGTGTTATTAGCAGAGCACAGAGAAAATAAACTTTCATGGTGATGGCATCCCTTTTATTTATGGAAGTATTGCGTAATTCTGATATGAAGCACAATCTTTTGCATTAAAAACAATTCTTTGCTGAGGTCTATTTAAGAATTTGTCAGGTTGTATGCCTGATTCTCCTAAATTTTCTAATTTTTCAGTTTGTACTGAACACAGTGGGTTTGCTTCTGTATTTCATAACATTTTATTCTCTCAAGTTTTTTTATATTTTAGCTCTCCTGAAGATAACACAGGTGGTTTTGTGATATTAAAGGCACTTATTATTCTGAAAAAACAGATAGCTTGAGTTTAAATCAAATAGAGAACAGAGTAATAAGCAGCACTGCCACTAGTACTTCTTAGCTGTCCATATGGAATGGGAACTAGAAAAGCTGTGATCATTGTTTTATACGCATAGAACAGAAAGTTACTTTCCTGGCCCCAGAAAAGTTTGTAGTTTGTAGTAATCTATATCCAAAAGTGGAGCCCCTGGTGGTCTAGTGGTAAGGGCGCGGCGCTGTCACCGCCGAGGCCCAGATTCGATTCCCGGTCAGGGACACTCCCAGGCAGATGGAGCTCGTTAGCCCTTAAAAAGGCAACCCATCTACGTCCTAAGGACCTCGCTGCCACCGTCCAAGCTCACTTGGCCCCGGCAGATGAACCTTAGGATTAAAGGGTGGGCTCAGTTCCGCGCACACTGTGTCTCACCTAAAAAATCCAATGCGCAGGCTGGAAGGTGTAAAGACCTTCCCCAGATCTTCGCTCGCAAAGACTGGCCATTATTATATCCAAAAGTGATCCATAATTGTGTAAAATAAAAAATTAAGTTCTAAAAAATGTTATTAGAGAAACTGTAGTCTTAGGATTCTAAGTAGAACATGCATACATAACAAATACTTGAAAAAGTAGGAAACTTGTCTTACCTGTGTAATCCTTTTGAATTGATATGAAATTATGTGATGTTTAGATCAGTATCAGTCTTAATCTAAAATTTGTGACAGTTTTTTTAACTGAAAAATCAAGTTGTAGATTTTTTTAGTAGATGAATGCCACTTAAACAGCCTTTAAGTATTAATCTGTCCTGTGTTTCATATATTCTCATCAGATGGAGTACATCATTACTAGAAAAGCCTGAAATTTAATTAGACTTCTCAAATGCCATTTTCCTACTGTTATTATGCTTAGTGATTCAAAAGGAATGAACAGGTGCCCAGTACAGTGAAAGAGAAAGGAAGATGCAAAAAAGGTCACTTGCAACATAACTATCAGTTTTGGTTTACCTATGCCAAGTACTAACCCTGCAGTAGGGTAACAAGGGAATAGGTGTGTATGTAATTATTTTTTCCCTAGGAAAACTATGTCAAGTGGTATAATGTTTATCATGGTTGCATTCTGAACATGCTTGTGAAGTATTTCAAGTTTTATAGCTTGTTCAGATACTTTAAGACATGACTGAACTTTATTAAGTCAGCTGAAAAGGCTTATTTGGTTTCCCTCTTGGTAATTTGTAGAAGGAGAAAGGGAGGAAATAATTTGACTTTGGGCCATAAACTGACATTTCATTGTTTGTTTTCTTTTCCAGTTAGAATGAATAATAGATGTAGAAAATGTGAGTGCATAAGCAGGTAGATCAATGCATTGAGAGACTTGTGCTCACATACTTGCATTCAAACCCTTTGAGTCCTGCAGCAGTGTTGTAGCCTTTGGGCCACAGGATTTCTGTTACTGCTATCTTAACACTGTCCATATTAAGGTATTTGTGGAAGATGAACCTCTTTACCTCCTTGAAAAGAGTTTCTGAAATACAATAGTTGAAATATTTGCATTAAAATTGAAGAACTTGAACTTAGTCCTGCCATATCTCAGTTAAATGTTTTCCTTACAAAGTGTTCACAAGTCTCACTCTTACTTAGCTGAAAGTATATTCTGGTCCTCATAAATCCTCATGACAACGCTTAAGAAAAAATTTAATTTGCCTTGAAAGTTGATTTTGATAATTGACATTTATCCTTTTTGTGTGTGTGTGTGTCACAACTTTTCTTTGTTGCCTTTTTAGTTTATTTCCCTGCGTATCTGCCCCCAGTTTATTTGTTGTTCTTTCTTCTGACTTAGGAAGGTGTAACCCATCTCAGTTTGTTCTATTCAATGTACTGGCCACAAATTCCTGTCTGGATATCAGTAAATTTGTCCAGATGATCTCTCTTTAAGTAGGAAATTAGCAGGCAGGGTTCTCATAGTAGGTTATTAAATGTCATTATTTCTTTACACATATCCATTAAGTTTTAATCTTAGATTGTAATATTTCTTACCCTAGAAAATTATGCAACCTTCAAAATGTACAGTTATATTATTCCTAATACTAATGCAAGTGCTGTAATAACCCACTTTTCATAACCATATCCTGCCCTCCTGCTTCCATTTTTCAGAATTGATAAAGAAATCAGTGTATAGCAAATCAGTGATTCTGCTTAACTTTAGGTATTCTTTTGATCTTCCTTCTTTCAGTGCCAGTGTTTATCAGAATGCTTTCTTTTTTTAATAAAATTGATGTCGTTCACATATGTAGTCTAGTAGTAGTATACACCAGTGTCTCTACGTGATGCAGTCTGGCTTTTAAACAAGCAGTTTCAAGCTTGATTTTCTGGCCAGGAAGTTTCAGGTTGCTTTTAGGTAATCCTGGTTTAACAGGTGAGAAACGTGAAGCTATAACTCTGGAAAAGGAGTTTCAAGAACCATTCATAAAGTCAGAAAAGCTCAAAAGAAAAACGATTTCTACTACTGAAAAATGCTCCTGTGAATCTTAGGTATTTGACTATGACTTCGGACTTCAAGATGACTTCATTGGCTCAGCATTTTTGGATCTGACATCGTTGGAATTAAACAGGTATGGCACAAACAAGCCTGCAGAATATTTCTGTATGGCTATCTGCTAATATCATGTTTTTGCAAATAGAACTTTATGGGAATTACAAATTGAACTTTATGCTAGAAGATAATTATATCAGAGAATATTCTGTGTTGGAAGGGACCCACAAGGATCATTGAGTCCAATTGTTAAGTGAATGGCCCATATGGGAATGGAACACACAACCTCAATGTTTTTAGCACCATGCTCTAAACAACTGAGCTAATCTCAGGGTTTATATATATTAATGTACTAAACTAACCCAGGAAAACCACATATGGTTAGGAAAGTACTTTATTCTGAATGTTTATATATTAGCTGATTACGAACAACATTTTTATATTGTCTGTGGAGCTATTAGTTTTATAACCACTGTAATCTTGTTTTTATGCTATCTTCATTCACAGCATAACCACCTGCTGTTTGACTTTCTTTTTTCTGGTTTTTAATCCATTAATATTACAGTTCTGATTTAATTACTTCAGTACATGTAAGTACTTAACAAGTAAAAGCATTTGGTATTTTTTTTATGAGCATTTAGACAGAAACACTTTAAAGTAGAAGTAGGGCAAATCTGTGACACTGGTTTTAAGCAGTTTCTTATAAATGGAGATGCCTTTAATTCTCATAATTCAGAAATTCCATTATCTGTGAAATATATCCATTATATATCAAAACAATGGAAATCAAAATAAATGTGTACTTTTTTGTTTCCTAGGCAGACAGATGTTACCTTGAGTCTGAAGGATCCTCATTACCCTGACCATGATCTGGGAAGTATATTCTTGTCAGTTCTGTTGGCTCCAGGAGAACAGCGAGAACCGGTAATTTTATATTTTAATAAGTGTGATCACTCCTGTGGTTGTTCTGTGGTTGGGTGACTAAGAGCACAAGAGTAAACCTCAGATTCTGAGATTAATTTGATTTTTCTAATTCTTAAAATAGCATTGAACAGTGTTTCTGGTATAGTACAGCATGCTTCATGTGAGTTGGATCCTTCCTGAGATAGTAATGAGGAATCCAGATGGAACATAAATGCTTAGCAATTTCAGATAAAGTCAGTTACAGGTGAATGATGCTGATTAATGTGGAGAAACATCAGTAAACCACTGGTTAAGAATTTTGGACCTACTGCTGCTATGTCTAGGTAAGAATATTTGATCCTATTCTATGCTGAAAATAAAGCTGAAAAAAAGGTAAAAAGTGTTTCCGCTTTTTGACATCTCACATTAAAGTATTATTTGATGTTTTTCAGTTTCCTGTTTACATGTCAATTATGAAATGTAGTGATTTTCTAGGTTTATTGTAATTCCTTCATCAGTCTTAGTTTTCTGACCTACTTAGTTGTAAGTGAAAATATTTTCCAGTTTCCTAGATTGTCCTAGTTGTGACAAATTCTGTCTCTAGTTGGATATATTTTACTACCTTTTTGTATGTTGACTTTTGACTTGGGTGGGTAGTATAACTATGGCAGAAATAGAAGAGATGATATCTCACTGAGGCTGTAAAATACTCTGGATCCCTCTGGCTTCACAGAGGCTGTAGTGAATTGCTTGGACCTCACAGCTAAATTTTGCCTTCAACAGGCTGTTTTCAAATTAAAGAAGAAATCACTGTTAAGCAATAGATCCTGTAGAGGCAGGTTGTTTTAATGCCAGTCTCTTTGCTGTACCAGCAGCCACCACTCTGCAGCCACTCAGAAAGTTTGTTCAGAAACTTTGCCCAGGCACTAGGACATACGGACACACACTATGAATCCCACTCCTACTCCTAATGCCACCAGACTTCCAAAATCTTCAGAAAGAAGACTGTACATGCCCAGAACTTGTCCAGGAGGAGAGACTGGGGCACTACTGGATAAACCCCCAATTTTTTATATCTGTGCGGGCCTTCACCTCTGATGGACCAGGACTGTGCACTGTAGCCACAGACCATCATCACCCACGCATGGCTGGAGCCATGGGTGGTGATATCTTTCTCTTTTCTCCTATCTCTTTTTCTCTATTTTTCTCTTTCAAATTTTCTTCTCTTAGTATGATCATACACTCAAGAAGAGCTATACACCCCTTTTCCAGTTCATTGCCTTTTTTTTTCCAGTTTTGGTTTTAAAGCACGTTTTAATGGAATTTTTTGTTATATTGGTTATTTAGCATCATTTTGCTTCAGTCCCCCGTCCCAGGAATCTGTTAACAATGAACCTGGTTGCCCTCCCTCAAAAGTGGGTCGCAACAGAGGCCAAGGAAAGCATTAATCTGATGAAATTTTCCATGGATAAGGTCAACTACATGTTTTTTATAAGAATATTCATGTTTCTACAGTGTGAGACATCATTCTTTTGCATACCTGAGGACTACTGGGAGGTTTTAATAGTGTTCTTTTTCTGCTTTTCTCCCAGGTAACATTAAAAAACCTAGTAAGTTGATTACTGGAACTAGGTGTTTGGTATTTGGTATAACAGAGATGCAGAGTTTTGAAAATGGGGTTCTTCTCTGTTAAATTGCCTTGTGACATTTTGTTAACACTTAGGAAAAATAATGGAATATGGTAGTAATGCGCATCTAGCTTATTTAAACAGTGTATTTTACTTTTTTTAAAGCAATATATTTATCCAGACAATTCAGAATTCTTTCTTGCAGAGTTGCACCACAACAGTGTTTGTTACTTAAATAAAAAAAATTATTGCATTTTGATTTCTTTCTTTTTTGGTGCATTTGTGTAAGACCAGCATTTCTGAGTCAGATGGTAATTGCCCTGTTTTTTCAAGTGCCTTTGGCACTATCCTGCCATAATCCTACATCATGCAGCACAGAAATACTGTATTTTTACATGGGACATCGTTATGTGAACAGCATGTTAGTTTATTTTTTCATTATAGAGAAGGATAGTACTGTGCTGTTCCATGTTGTCAGCTTTTATAGAGAGACTGCTCAAGAAAATTACAGGTGAGAAAGCGAAATTAAGACACTGCAGTGTAGCCTGTCTTTCATAGGGGTGTTGGTGATTTAGCAACTGAATGTCAAAAGTATTAGGAGCACCACAGACTTGCTGGATAGCAACTTTTTACATATCCAACTGATTAGTTGTAATAGGAGGAAAAACTGGGTTTGTGCTATCACACATTTCATTGTTAGCTTTTTTTAGTTTATCTCAAGTGAACAAATTTTCTTCCCATTGAAACTGTTATATGGGACTTCCTTCTGAAAATGTCCATGATTCCAACTAATAATCTGGTTCCTAATCTGAATCTTAATATTTATTGTGAGAAACCAGTCTTTCCAAGATACGTATCTCAGAGAAGTTCTGGCAAAGTTGCAGTAAAATCAGAGAATTTGTATCACAGTGAGAGGAAGATGACTTACAAAATTAATATTGAATTGCTGTATATGAATGTGTTAGGTGTTTCATAATTAAAGACTCAATTATCTTTTACTCAGTTACCATATGCACTTATTTATTTATTAGATTTTTTTTTTACTCTCTAAGGAATAGATATATTACAAAGTGTATCACTCCAGTTAAACTGTTGTCTTTGGTTATTTTTGAATTGAAGGATTTTGTAATAACGAGGATGATTTTAATTGAAATAAGTATGATTGAGATCAATAAATTTTGAAATGTTATGTTAAAAGATCAAGACTAATTCTTGTTCACTCTCGAAATGTGCACCATATAAAGTAGCAACGAAAGCATTTCCTACATTCGCATACTGTTTGGATGATTGCTGCTCCCCCTCTACTTGGATATCTCTATTTAAGTAATAATTCCAATATAGTTGAAATGTATAGATAAAAACCTATGAGCACCTTTAAATATGCTTTAAAGACAGCTGCATGGAAGACATGGTGGCTCGTCACATCTTGTACATTTTTTTCCTAAGTAATTTCAAATTTACTTAAAACCTGTTTGTTTGATATCCCTATATAGCTTACCTTTCAAAAATACAGTTTCTTCTGAATAGGTTTTATTTTGCTCAGGTGATAACTCATAAATTCCTTGCAACTAAGAGTTGCAAGTTATTAAGCATTTAAGCTAACTTTTTACCATTTTAGACCATTTACATGTTGTCACACATAAATGGTGTCGAATGGTTAAATCATAGAGCTGAAGATTTCAGAAATTAATTGCAAGTACTTATACTGCATGTACTATAATTCCATATATTTTAAATGAGAGTGTTTGTTAAGACCATAGGGGGAAAAAAAAAAGGAATACCTTCAACAAAAGAAGTATTAGCTTTCCCATGTAGCCATAGAAGCCACATATCCTGTATTTTGGGCAGGTCTATATCTGTATTTCAAATCAAGCCCTCTTGAACAAGACAATGTTTGTGATGTGTCCTTTGGTAACTTGATGTGGATGATACTTTCCAAAGAGATCCTTTCATTGCCTGAACTGCAGTAAGGCTGTTTCGGAGGTCATGCATTGATGTGCAGGTAAAGGAAAAGTTTTTTGAGGGTGTGTTTGTGTGGCTTGAGGATAGGTCCTGCAGCAAAGCACTATACTGGCATTTCAAAATAATGTGGCATTATGTTACAGGGAGATGCATCCTGTCACACTGCATAAGAAATATTGATGCTGCTGGAGGATAAGATATTTCAAGTGGAAGTTTGAAGTTAAATGGGACAAAATGGGCCTTGTGTATTACTACTGTCTGTGAGAGAGGGATTATTGCAAGTGATTTTAAAAATAAGCAGTCAGTTTGACAGAGTAATAGATTATTTTGTTTTGGGTGAAGCCTTGAGGTGTGAAAAGAGATGAGAGAGAGATTTGATCCACATAGGAGCATTTTTTTCCTTATCTTCTGGAAAAAAATTCTGATGAAATTCAGATTTTCTGCATATTGACTGATAAGATGATCTTGAGAATTATATCTGGAAGGTCCCATTTCCTCAGATCAAAACATTACATTTTTGGATTCAGATATCGGTTAAGAATGTTAACTTATACATATGTTCATATGACTGTATGTAAAATTATATTACACTGACTAGGAAAGGGGAGTATTTATTTTGGAATGTGGTGGACTGTGAAAAACAGTGCTTAAGTAGTTTACTGTTGTGTTTTTCCAGTAGAATAATATTGGACACAGTTTCAATTAAAGGAAATTCAGTCTACTAGTTTTGTAAGTAGGAACACAGTATTTGATTTTGTGGTAGATTTATGTGAAGAAAATGCAGAAGTAACCTGCAGTTATTGAATAATAATGTAAGAGTATAGGCAGGTGAAAAAATCAAAATTTCTACCAAATCTTATGTCTAAATATCCTTGCCTTTTGCTACCTGGTGCATGCTTTAAAGGCATAAAAGTGTGAACATTTAAAGTAATAATCTTGTAACTTCTCATTCAAACTACGCACATAAATAGAAACATAGCATTTCTGAAGTTATTTGAAGTCCTAGTCTTTTGATTTTTGACCAATGAAGGTAATCTGGTTAGTTCTGATTTTTGAACAATCATGAATTGTGAATCAAATTTGATTAATGAATTATTGTTATAGAACTATAAAAATTTGAATGTTTTTAGTATTTGAGTCCATTTCCAGCCTTACAATTAAGTTACCTTAACACTTGTTACAATAATTCATTTCCATTTGCTCTGTGCTGTTAACAGTACTTGTCCTTTACCTTAATGCAGCATTTTAATTTTATTGTCTTGAAAGGACGGATAACTTAAGTAACTACTGTAAACTAAAAAGATTTAAAATAAGTATGGGAAAAGTATGTGTATATAAAAATGTTAAAATGTGAGCTCTAAAAATTCATTAAGTTAACTGTATTTATGAAAAATATTGTGTTTATGAGGTACTTTCTGTATTTTTCAAATTTCTCCTTTTGATTACCAGTTTAAAAGAAGTCAGAACCAGCAGTTACTCAGATTTTTTTCTTGGACCTGCTCCAAAGAAGCTTGTTTTGTTTCTATTACTATTCCTTTTGGATACATGTAGTGCAGCACATGCTGGTGTGCTGTTTGTAACTGCATGCATGTGTACAGTCTTCTTGCAAATTCTGTTTGATCTTGTAGTCGTGGGTGCCACAGTGCATGTGAGTTTTTCTGTCTCTTTCTCCATCAACATTCAGTGCACAGATTTCACCACTGGGGAACTTCCAGTGACTATAACCTCTTCAGAGCTGCATGTCACCCAGGTCTTCACTACAACAGCTGTTTCCTATCTGGGTCTTACAGGCAATTTCCAGCTATAGGAAATGACAAAGTTGGTAGCTTGATGAGAACTGTTGTCTTGGGACCAGCAGAGATTGGGAGCAACTGTTCACCGCTGGCAGCAACCTAAGAGGCATAGGAAATGGAAATAAGAAAACATACAAGTGTTACTTGGATGTTATTTAATGAGATGAAAGTTGAAGGCATTCTTTTTTTCCTAAAATGATCTATCTCAAATGATGCGTGGGTTTTTTACTTAATATGAAAATATTCACAACATTAATATGCAGTCAGTTTGCTTGCTGTATTAAATCTTATAATACACTATTACTATATGTTTGTTTGTTTTTATTTGCCAGAGGGATAATAACTTAATGGGGAAAAAAAGACAGATGGACTCAGGGCATGGAATATTTTCAGATTAAAAAGTTCTATGTAGATCATTCATCCTGATCTGTCCTATGCTATATATTTATTTTACTGGCTTCTAAGGGTGGTTGCTATGGCTTCAACTTATCCTGCTCTAGCTGGTAATGATGCCAATGTACTCTACAAGTATGGTCATATGTTTCTGTAGCTACAACTCAAACTGAACTCCTCAGAGTTGAAAGAATCATAGAATCATCGAGTTGTTTGGTTTGGAAGAGACCTTAAAGATCATCTAGTTCCAACCTCTTCCACTAGACCAGGTTGCTCAGGACCGCATCCAACCTTGCCTTGAACACTTGCCAGGATGGGGCAGCCACAGCTTCTCTGTGCAACCTGTTCAGTGCCTCACAACCCTCACGGTGAAGAATTTCTTCCTAGTATCTAATCTAAACCTAAATAGTCGTATCAGCTGTTGGGCCAGATTCTCATCCTTGCTCACAGACTGGTCTGAAGCCTAGGGAAGCTGAGTTTGTGCTCTGACTTGTAGCTGTGTAGGATTCAGAAATGACAAGGAAGAGAGCAGCTGTGCTGTTCTGGACAGGACCCAGGAACTCAAGAGATTTTCATCAGTGCCTGCTGTGGGCCTCAAGCTGCTTAATTCTTATGTGCTTCTTCTGTAAAAATGAAAAAAGGGCTTTCTACAGCTTTATAAAGTGTTTAGTATCTGTGTATATTTTCCAAAGCTACAATTACCATTAACTGACAGCAAAGCCCTTGGGTTTTAACTGTTTATAACAACTTAAAAAGTTTCTTCAGAAGCTTGTTGTTTTTCTTCTCCCAAAAAGCTGTGTCTATTTGAAAAATTTCTGGATATTTCAAACATATAAACCCTACATATTTTTTCTTATTTTAATTTCCCCCCATGATATAATTTAATAGTGAGGAAAATGTTTGCATTTCAAAATTTATTTCTGTTATTTGAAAAATAAAGTGTTTTGCGGTAGTTAATAAAAATAAACATCATGTTTACTTTTCATGACAAAGTTTCGAAAGAAATTAATAGCCTTTGATTTATTCTTGCTCAGTATCAATAGCAGGCTGCTAAATGTTATTAAATTCTATAAAGTAATTTTTCTGCATTTCCACAGAACTGCTTAAGCAACAGTTGTGTTCACAGATAAATTGTCCCCAATCTACTTGACCAGTGTGTCTCCTTTATTTAATGACTTAGAATCTGTCTGTGGACACTTTGCCTCCCAGCATTTCAGAGCATGGTGTCTAGCAGTGCCAAGGTTTTACAGGTTATTTAGGTAATGGGACAGGGCAACTGAGATTTGGGTTTTTTAAAGAGCGAAGGTATAACTTTGGTTTCTCCCTCATGTGCATAATTATCAAACTAAAGAGATATTTTTACTGCTGTGAAATTAGCTAACAGTGGTAACTTTAAGGATTTTGTAATAGATTCATGTTATGAAAGAAGTCTTATGAGGGATTTCTATTGTGTGGCTACACTTAGGAGTTAAACAGTAGTGTTCCAAAAAAATGGAGTACTTTATTATTAAAAAAATTCCATTAATATTAAAAACTATCCAAGTATCAGTCAAAATTGAAATCACTATCAGTAACGGCACATCCATTTTTTCCCATTTGTTTATCTAATTCTGTTTTTCTGTCTTTCTTTCTTACAAGTTCAGATAATGCATCGTCTCCAGAACTGAGACTTTCAGACTACCCAGAAAAGTATGCCTGGGTCTGCACAGGGCTGCTACTTGCCTGGATTTGTTTCAGGCTTGTGTATCTGTTGGTGGACTGTACATGTCACTGTTTCAGTTGTAGTGGTGGTTAAATGTGAATTGTCCTGTTGGAGACAGTTGGCCTCCTTTTCTGTATTGCAGAGGAAAGGTACTTAAAATGCTTTATTTTATTTTCAGACTATGCTAATGAGGAAGAGTTGGAAAAGATCAAGTAAGGTAACTGTAATTTTTAGCATGTGGTCTTCTGGCTGTTTGTTTTTGGATTTTTGTGTCTTTTGTTTTTTAGAACAACTATGATGTTTTACCAAACATGACATCTAGGACTGTAAGCTTCTGGCTCAGGATTTATTGTCCTTCAAAATGTGTTTTAATGACATTGGTTTTTGTTTCATCAAATCAAAACCATGAAACAGTTTTTAAATGTAATCATAAAACCTGTAAACTTTGTTGCAGCATTTTAACCTGTTTTGAAGTCATTTGGCAACCTCATGTAAATGGCCAACATGTCCTGATTCCTTTTCAAAAATCTTTATTTCTCATGTATAAAAAATTTCCCTTGTTAATATGAGCAAGGAATTCTTGTCAAAGGATAACTTTCATTTTCTTCCTACTTACTCATTAGAGGTTTTGTGTGCCGTTTTCACAGTGATGCTAGTTATCCATAGATGACAGTCATAGCCAGGCTTTAAAAGAGCAGAATACTTAAGGAATCATTCTTGGTCTCCACTTTATAGAGCTCTTTAGATGCCTCTTCAAGCAAATTCAGTATCTGGCTTTTCCCCTCCTAGGAAGGGATAAGAAAGGAGCAGTGTATGCTCTTTTTCACAGGGGAAATGCTGATAGTTTGACTACAGTGGAATACAACCAATTTTTGGCTTTCTTTTTTGCTGTATGTGTCTCCAAAGAGATAAAGAAAACGTGTATAGTTTCTTAGTAGTTTTCTGGCCAGTCTTACTTAATGCTGCCATTCTGTTTTAAAGTTTTAAGCCTTCTTGCTGTTTGTATTGATAAAAATAAAATTGAAATTTCTCAAAATCTCGAGTTGGTGTGGTAGATCTGACTTTTTTGAGATGTTACCATGTATATGTGTTAAAATGAGAAAAAAAGTGAAATAGCTATGTGGAATGATTGACTTATTTTGTAAAGTTATTTGTTCTTTTAGCATATTGATATGCAAATTTAAATAGAAGGTTGTTAGCAAACAAGGTTGTATATGCTGCTCTTTTGACAAATATTTGCACACCTTTAAATCTTTAAATAATTTAAAAGATCAGTGTTCATAATTCTTGGGTTATGGATGGGTTTTTCACAGTTTGCTTCTGTGATGCAAGACAATATCTCTGTTTCTTTTTTGAAATTTCAGAAGATATTTGGTGAAATTATGATGTATAGTATTTTAATTCTCATATGGTTCGTGTAACTTCATGAAATATCTAAGGTGCTCAAACTCCTGAAGAGATAAGGAAGAGCTGTGAGAAGGGTGAAGGGTAGAACTGTTTTGCATCATGAGAGTGATGTGTTAGCTCTTGATGTCCTAAATATATGTTTGTTCCCATACTTCAAATTACAAATTGACAAAACTATGAGCTTCAGTAATCCTGAATGAATGGCACAACATGAGAATTGGGAATTCTTCAGAGCTCTTCAAGTGAGTTATTTATCCCTGTTCTCCATTGTTACAACCATTTGATAACATTTCATTCAGTAGTGGCATTTTTGCAAATCAGTATATCAAAATATTTGGCAAATAGTGAATGTACTTTCTAAATATTGTACTTTTTCTATGGTTGTCTCACAAGAAGTAATCATTTAACCTAGAGGTGTAATGCATGGACAATATCTTACATGCATTTCTGTGTTTATGATTTATATACAGAAGTATCTCAGTTGGAACACAGAAGCTCATTTGTCTTGTGGGTCTATTCCAGAGTTCCAAATCTTTGATCTGCTGTCTGAAAAACAAATTCAAAAAATCTTTTATTTGCAAAGAATTTCTTTAAAAGACTTGCTCTTCTCTGGGGTGCAGGGTAATCAATATTAAATAAGATGTTATTTGCAGATTAAAAAAATAAAAATTCCTAAAAATAGGTACTCAATCATATTAAATAATTGAGAAAGTGCCCTATTTGAGATCCGTTTTCTTCAGGAAGTGTTTGTCTTACACTCCTGAGAGCTGAGAAAAAAACAGAATACTAAAATTTTTTAAAGATACCATTGTAAAATTTCCTAAACCTAATTTTTTAGGTCTCTAGAGACTTTAAAATGACAATTCTAGTGAATGAATTTGATTTTACAGATATGACACTATTCTTCACTTTTTTAAAGTTTGTGTCCTTGAAGCCTACCTTTTCTGTAACATAGGTAGCTTGAAGTTAAGGTGTAGTAATGCAGACCATTATGGCATTCCCTGTGTTCATGAACTGCATTGTTTGCCTGCAGTTCCTTGAGCATGTGTAGTGGATATAAAAAGAACAGTAACTGACCTCTATTACAATGTTAACATGTTCACTTACTTGCAGGAGGTTACTTTGGCCAAATTCTGAGTCTCTGCTTAAATACTGCACCCCTTTGAAGTTGAGGCATTAAGAAATACTCAGGTCAATGCAGCTGTGCATTTTATCTACATGTAAACCAGTGTTTTCAAACACACTAGTGTTATAAACACTTGTTAGTGACATTGCAAAAATGAAACAACACTTATGCTTTCATTGGTAGATTTCTTTCTTCTGTTGCTGTTGGTTTTTAGTTTGTCTTTTAGTTTTCCCTGTTGGATTTGCTTTATACCAGACATACTCTTCATCAAAAGTGGTGACAGCTCAGCGCTGTCTAGGTCAGAGGGAGTGCTCCTCTTTCTCTGAATCTAGCAAAAATTAAATTAAAACAGTTTTGAAGTCAGAGCATTTCTGTGCTTGGTCTCTGAAAAGAAAATTCAGACTTTCTGTCTTCAGTGACAGGAGACTTCTGGTGGGCTATTGGAAAAAGCTGTTTATTAAAAAAAACAAACCAAACCAAAACAAAAAACTTCTACTGGGTAGATATAATTTGCTTTTAGTTTTAAATTGTTTTTTTTGTTTCATGGACCACAAGCTTGGTGTTGCATTAAACAAACTAAAGGCTAGTGATTATGACTTGGCAGGTTGGGCTGTTTGGTACATGGTCTGGGAGAGGACAACATCTCCATTTTTAGTAGTAGAAATTTCAACCACTACTACAGATATCTCTGCTACGATCCATTACCTTTACCCCAAGTAAAGGTGGAAGTGAATTATTCAATGTTTCATATATTTTTTATATGATACAAGTGTTTGCTTAATAACCTCAATGTGCCTGTGCCTCAGAAAAAGGCAGTGCTTGTATGATCTGAATAGTCAGTCATTCATTTAAACCAAATAGAGTGTCTCTTAGCTTCATTTTTCTTTTTAAAAAGCTATTGGAAAAATTTTGACCTGTGCAAAATGGTTTTCCTTTCTGTGTATGCATCTGATCTGTTCTACTTGTATGTTTCTCCACTTCCACCACCGTTTTCCCTTAGGGAAGATTTTCCTTTTTGCATTAATTTCTCTGCTGAAGTTGCAGAGTTTCCTGATGGCTCTTATTCTTTGGATTGAGGAAATCAAACTTCTTGCTTTTCTCTTGCTTTCTTAACTGCCTGTGTTCCAGATCTAATTTGGTACAACAGTTGTTGCAGTTCAGGGAAAAGAGGTGTGCAGAATAGTCAACACTGCTTCTGACAGTGAGATGAATAGTGCTAATTGCTGAAGCAGTTTCTGTTACAGAATCCTTGATGTATCAACTATCTGTGTAATGAGAAATAAAACATTGCTACTTCAGCATGAGCTATCTCAGACTAATTGGGAAGAGTTGTTTTCTACTTCACTAAAAAAATACCCACAGCTTTTATTTTTTTAAAGTTGTCAAGTTATGCTACCTTCATTTGACAGTTAATTGTTTGCATTAACTCAATGAGAAGCCTTTCTTTGGACACACTCTCTCAAAGATCATTTCATTTCATAGAAAGTAGGCGGAATTCTCTGAAGAATCTGTGGATACTAGTAAATATTTTATGAAAAATCACCTGTTCCTTCTACTGTTGTACAATTTTCTGAATGATTATAGGAGTTTAATTTAGAAAAGGGTAAGGGATAATGGCTTCAAGTGGTGCTGTTTACTTACAGGGTAATGCACACATAGCTGGCTTTGAAAGTTTTGACCTCACTATACTGAGCAGGAGAAACGGAGGCCAAAAGGTGTGAGACAAGAAGGTAACTGGAATGTCTCTGGAAGATGAGAGTGATGGCAAGGCAAGTCGTGTTGGACTTAGCAAACCTCTCCAGAATTTTGGATGCCTGTGATATTTAAAAATCTACCTGTGTGCAGGGTAGGTGTGAAAAAGACAGAAAATAGGATTAACAGCCTGAAAAGTTGTCTTCCTACCATGGAATGAGAACAGTGATAGCTAAACTGTGTTTAACAGGCGTTTGTTTAATCTGTCCTTAAAAATCACAGCAGTGGATATTTTACAACCTCCCCAGAGAGCCAGTTCTTGTGCTTAACTATCCCTTACATTAAAAGCTGTTCGTTTCCCTAGTGTCTTAACAGTATCTCCCATGGTGCAAATTAAGCTCATCTCTTCTCACAATACAGATGGATATGTTTTATTACAGTGATTTGGGCACAATTTATATATACATTTTAGAGTGAGTCTGAAAAAATAATCTGAAAAAATACTTATATTTTAATTCAGAGGTAAGTTTTGGATGCTCAAATACTAATGATTGGGGCATGTAAGAGGAAACAAAACAGCGATATTTGGAATGAAGTTTTACTGTGTGCAGAAAATATGTCAGAATGAATAGAGATACTATGGGAGAAATTAACAAGTCTGGTGGATTGAACCCAACCAGCATGAAGCCTTGATGCTATGTGAGCATTGATCGCCAGTAACCAACATGTTCCAGTTTTGTCAACACTGGTTTAGCCACAAATGTCAAGCATGTCTTCCCCTTTCTGCTGAGGCATAGAGGGACTTGACACAGTGGATTTACTGGACATTCCCATGGGAAAAAAAAAAGTGTGACAGATAACTGTATTTTGCTTTTGTCTGAGAACCTTCATAAGCCTCATTTTGTTCCTAGACCTTCAGGACAACAAATTACACCTCATGTAAGATGAAAACACCAAAGTCTGACACCTGCTGAAAAGTTCTGGTAGTTTAT